ATAATCAACAAATATAAGTTTTACAAAACATTTGTATAATAATTAAAATAAAATGGAAGTGCCATTTTAAAATCGAAACTAAAATTTTATTGAAGAATTACTTAAAATTATTGTGATATAACCTTTTTAACAACAACAACAAATAATGATAATAATAAAAGCAATAATAAAATTATATTATAGTAATTTGATCTTTTTAGTGATGTTATTTATTTTGTTTAGTCAATTTAACTAATCTTTGAAACTAAATTGAATAAACTCAATCCAAATAAAATAAAAGAGTAACTAACAATTTCATATAAGTATATTCTTAATTTGTGCTTGTAGGGTGAAGAAGAAAGTTGAGGAAGATAAAAAAGTAGAGAAAATTGTGAATTTGGGAAGAAGATGATGTAGAGTCTTACAATCAAATTATTATTATAGTAATTTGATGTTTTTAGTTTTTCTTTCCTCTTCTCTATATATTTCATTTATGTACTTTATTGAAGAACTTAAAATATAAAAAAAAAATCTTTTATATGATTATAGTTGTACATACACAATTTATTGGGTTAAATTATGGTTAGTTCTTTTTTTTAAAAAAGGTAAATTTGGACCCTTGGTCTAATTTTGTTCTTGTGAATTTTTATTATGACAATTTTTTGCAACATTCTAAAACGAACATTATGTACTCGATGTTACTGTTTATTTGCATGTTGAAGTGCATTAAATAGGACATTACAGATAGAAGCATTTTAAAGAGCGAAAATTTGATAACTGACAAAAAGAAAAAAAAATGTTATCCAAGCAATGAATTAAAAAAATTGACAACAAACTTGAGTATTTGTATAATTCCAACGAAAAATTAAAGAAACTATAAACTATGCAATACTTTCGTTTAAAAAAAAGAGACAAAAATCCTATTTATTTTTTCCTTATTTTTTTGATAAATTTCACTATATTTTAATTTTTTTTAACTATTATTATTATTATTTTAAAAAGTGTCAATTATTGTTCTCTCCATTATTTCATTATGTACTTTATTGAAGAATTTAAAATATAAAAAGAATTTTTTTTCCTTTTCTTTTATATGACTATAACTGTACATACATAATTCATTAGGCAAAATTATGGTTAATTCGTTTGAATTTTTATTATGATATTTTTTTGCAACATTCTAAAATGAACATTATGTACTCGATGTTACTGCATGTTGAAGTGCATTCCTAAATACTACACTACGACTAGAAGCATTTTAAAGAGCAGAAATTTGATAACTTACAAAAAGACGCCATCCAAGTAATGAATTAAAACAAATTGATAACAAACCTGAGTTTTGTATAATTCTAATAAAAAACTAAAGAAACTATAAACATTATATGCAATACTTTCGTTTTTTTTTTAAAACAAAAAAAAAGACAAAGATCCTATTTATTTTTTTCTTATTTTTTTGATAAATTTCACTAAATTTTAATCTATTATTATTACTATTAAAAAAGTGTCAATTATTACTCTCTCTATTCATTTCTATTATTTATTTTATTTTTTATTTTTTGGCAATAGAACTGTGAACATTACCATACCAAAGCAAAGTATTACAATTTAAGAAAGAAACAACTATAGCATCTAGCTACTTACTATCTACCACAAATCCTATGTATTAAATCTTGACAATTTCTTGCTTTTCTAGACTCTGTAACTCTTTCTAGTCTAACTTGTAACTCCTTCTTTATTTGTGCAATGATGAAATTTGTATTTACATGTTTCTGTCTAAACTGCCTCCAATTCCTCGCTTGCCAAGTATAATAAATTGTTGCTCCATACATAGCTGCTACTGCTTCCTTCTTCAATTGCTTCCAACATCTACTTTTAATCCATGCCAATATTTGTTGAATTGTGCCTCTTAGCAGTATCACACCCATCCAGTTAGCCAAATCCTTCCTCATTGTATTCCCCCAATGACATTCAGTAAACAAATGTTGGTGCGTTTCAGCACTCTCTTGCTCACACAAGCCACATGCTGCATTTTCAACTTGTATATGCATATTCTGTAGTCTATCTTTAGTGAGCAGTCTTCCTTGGTATGCAAGCCATAAGATAAATCTTTGTCTAGGCTGCATTATAGAGCTCCAAAGTAAGTCTGCCTCTGGGCATTTATGTAACAGACCTAGCATGGCTTGGTAGCTACTGGTCATGGAGTATGTGCCATTTGGTGTCAAAACATATTGTCCCCTTTGGTACCATTGGAGCATTTCCGTCTTCAAAACATTCAGTTTCTTCCAATACCAACTACAATCTTGGGGTGGTATGTTCTCCCAAATGTTATCTGTATCCTTCATATATATCTCATGTACCCACTTGACCCATAATACATCTTTCTTGTTTGCCAACTGCCATAAGAGCTTCCCAACAGCAGCTACATTCCATAGTTTGCAGCTCTTGATATTTAATCCTCCATACTTTTTTGGTACACATACCTTATCCCATGCCACCAATGCTATTTTCTTGTGCCCTTCCGAGCTTCCCCATAGGAATTCTCTGTATTTTTTATCTACTTCCTGCAACACACTCTGTGGGAGGATAAACACTGTCCCCCAAAAATTATATATCGAGAACAAAACAACATTAACTATCTGTAGCCTCCCTGCATATGACAGCTGTCTTGAATAACCTGAGGTAATTCTCTTTGTAATCTTCTCCACCAATTGGTAACAGTCCACCTTGTTCCATTTTTTTGAAGATAACGGCAGTCCCAGGTACCGTATAGGTAGTACACCTATTGAGAACCCAGTACTATTCAAAATTCTCAGCTTTGCTTCCTCAGTCATTCCAGCAAGAAATATGTTAGATTTCTGCAAATTTGCTTCCAAGCCAGTCACAACACTAAAATGTTTCAGAGCTTCCATCACCCTCTTAATAGAATTTGTGTCGCCTTTGCAAAACACCATTAAATCATCTGCAAATATCAAGTGTGTAAGTTTTGCTGCTTTGCACATTGGATGGTATTTGAAATCAGCCAGATCACTCATCCTCCTCAGAATTCTCGTAAGATACTCCATAACTAATACAAATAGCAGAGGGGAAATAGGGTCCCCTTGTCGAAGCCCCCGTTTGCCCTCAAAATATCCATATCCTTCTCCATTCACTTTAACTGTGAACCTCGTAGTGGTAACACATGTCATTACCAACTGCACAAAGGTTCGTGGAAAATTATAACCCTTTAAAGCTTCCTCTATAAAGTCCCAACTTACCATATCATATGCCTTTCGTAGATCAATCTTCATCATACATCTTGGAGTAGTTTTTCTATTATAATGCCTCGGCAAGTCATGGCAGATTAATACATTATGAATCAATGATCTTCCTTCAACAAACGCTGCTTGATTACTTGCCACTACTACCTTTATGGCTTCCTTCAGTCTCTGACAGATCATTTTTGAAATGCACTTGTACAGAACATTGCAACATGAGATGGGTCTGAATTGACTTGCCATCACTGGTGCGTCTATTTTGGAATGAGAGAGATTACTGTGGAGTTTAACTGTGTTAGGAGCTCTCCAGTCTCCATAAATTCCAGAATTGCTTGTGTCACATCTTGACCAATCACAGTCCATGCTGCTCTAAAGAATCCACTCCCATATCCATCAGGCCCCGGGCTTTTATTGATGTCAATACCAAACATAGCACTCTTCACTTCTTGTGTTGTATATGGTTTCACTAATAGCAATTGTTGTTCAGTATCTAATACGTCTCCATTTCTAAAAATTAAGCCACTTGCTCTTTGTCGTTTCTTTTCCTTTGTGCCTAGAAGGTCCTCATAATACTCCACAAAGACATCGGCAATTGCCTTCTGGTTTGTCTGCATTACATCATTATTATCCTTCAACTGCAAAATAGCTTGTTTTAGCTTCCTGTGTTTTATAATTGAGAAGAAATATCTTGTGTTGTCATCTCCAAGTTTGATCCAAGTTGCTTTACTCCTCTGTTGTAAGTAGACCTCAGCCATGTACGAGGATCTCATAAACTTCTGGTACAATTTCTTCTCCTGCTCCTGCAAAGTCTTATCCGTTGGTTGGAGATGCAGCTCTTCTTGTGCTTTTGCAAGTTCAATTCTGTCCTCATCAGCTTCTGTGATGATATTTCTGAAATGCTGGCTATTTAGATTTCTCAGTCTTCTCTTCAAATACTTAAGTCTCTTCACAACTCTAAACATCTGGTGGCCTTCAATATTGTGGTCCCATGTCTCTTTCACAATGTTCAAGAAATCAGGATGACTAGCCCACACATTGCAATATTTAAAAGCTGGTTTCACTATTCTTGGTCCATCAAGCAGTGAAATTACAATAGGACAATGATCACTCACTCCTTCTGGTAAGAAATTTGCATTATAAGCTGGCATATTCACTAACCATTCTGGATTAATAAACACCCAGTCTAACTTTGAGAACACCCTAGCATCCCTTTTATCATTCCATGTATATCTGTTACCTTTTCTAGGTAGTTCCAGCAGTCCACAACTCTCAATACAAGCATGAAAGTCAGTTATTTCCACCATACTCACTGGATTTCCCCCTATCCTATCCTCAACATTTAGGACAGAATTGAAGTCCCCCATTATTATCCATGGAAGCATGTTCCCTGCGTTCATATCATCTAAATATTTCCACAACTCTTTCCTTTCCTCTCTTGTGTTGAAAGCATATACCACAGTTACCATGTACTCCAAATTGAGGCTTTGATTTCTTACTTTACAGGTTATCGCCTGGGCACAACTTGCGACCATTTGCACCTGAAAGTAATCTGGCCTCCAAGTTATCCATACCCTACCATTATAATGGTCGACAAGATTAGTAATGTAATCCCATCCTCCAAACAAGCTTCTAGCCACCCTGTCAATATTACTTATTTTGATCTTAGTCTCTACTAAACCCACAAATCCAGTACTTTCTTTACTACAAAGGAGTTTGATCTCCTTTTGTTTGTTAGGGGCGTTTAAGCCCCTAACATTCCAACACATCATGTTATCCATTCACGCTGGGAATCGCATTCCCTCCCCCATTTACAGTTGTGGTCATTGAAGGTTGTTCTCTAGCTTCTTCTGTATGTAGAACCTGAAAGGTGTTCTTATGAGCCACCTCTCCCTGATGAACTTGGTTCCTCTGCCTATTTGGACTCAGTGACTTATTCACTGGAGTGGTCCACCCTACCTTCCTTCCTCCTTGTATGGTAGTAGTTGTTCCACTTTTCCCCCCTCCATCAATGATCCTCTGGTTTATCATTCCAGTTTGTCTTTCTCTGTATTGATTTTCTTCCCCTGTTTCCTTTTGTTTCCCTTTGTCTCTCACTATGTTTGGTTGTTGCTCTTCCCCTCTCCTTTGATTAGGAGGTGGATTTTTCTTCCTGCAAATCCCTTCATCGTGTCCATACTTTTTACAAAAATTACACAGTGTGGGTTTCCAATCATACTGCACTTTTTGTTCAATCAACTCTCCTCTCTCATTTTTGAAGAAAACTTTATCCGGTAATTTCACTTTCATTTCCACTTCTATCAACAACCTGGCAAAACTCAGTCCCAATTTCCTCTCTGTATTTTGGTCCACCATTAATGGCTTCCCAATTAAACTTCCAATTTTACTCAGTCCTTTGGGACTCCAGTATTTGAAATCTAATCCTGGTAATTTCACCCATATAGGAACAGTATACAACTCTTCTCGAGTAAACTCCATGTCTGGACTCCAAGCTTTAACTATTAAGGGTTTATTGTCAAAATGGTATATCCCACCTTGCAACACCTCCTCCTTCCCCATTTCAGAATCAAATCGTACCAGCACTATACCATTTTTCAACATCGAGACTTTCTTTATACCATGCTTCCCCCACAATCGTTGTATGTAACCATTCATCACAGAGAAAGGGGGATGTGCCCCCAAAACGTAGCAGACTATAGCATGTTGCCAGTATGCAATCTCAGTGCTTATATCCTCAATGTCTATCTCACAGATTGAGGATTCACCTTGTTTCTATTATTTATTGTAAAACTTTAAATATCTCAAAATTTATTATTCTACTTATTCCTTTTTTTTATTGTAAATTTAAAGGCCTAAATATTTAACTTCAACCTTTCTTCTCCATGAAGAATAAAAAACTTATATGTATTTATATATTATATACAGCTAAAATATTAAAAAAATGATTTGACACCTCTCTTTGGCCAATGATCCTTATTTATTTATTTTTATTTTTTATTGTTGTAATTTTCACTATATTTCTATTTATTATTACTATTAAAAAATGTGTCAATTACTATTCCCTTCATTAATTTCTATTATTATTTATTATAAGAATCTAAATACCTCAAATTTTACTACTCCACTTATTCCTATTATTTATTGTAAATTTAAAGGCAAAAATATTTATCACTCAAATCTTTCTTTTTCTCTTTAACGAATGAAAATTTATTAAAATAGAGTAGTCTAATGAAATATCATTTCAAATAGCTTGAAAAAAATTAGACCAACCCTCTAACTCTCCTAATTATGAGATTTCTCTTTTTATCTAATTTTCAATAATTCTCTCTTTTATGAAACAAGAAGATATTAAAAGTACTCGGTTAGAAGAGGTCGATATACCTCAAAAACATCAGGATCGTCATACGGATCCTCATCTAGCTCTCCAATTATACAAAGGGGAGGAATGAGCTTGGTAAAACTAACAAGCTCTTCAAAAGAAGCTACTTCTTCGATACATCTGGACGATATTCTAGAAAATAATCGATTATACGCCCAACTGCGAGCATATTTATCTCAAAAACAAAGTGATACTTTTGCATCAGTGGCAAAAGAAGAGGTTGATGATATTAGATCCTATGAAAGGGTAGTAAAGAAAGAAATGATATTTCTTATTGAAAACTCTGAGATTCAGAGAAAAGAAGAACCCTGGAAGATATTACAGCGATATTTACTTAACGAATTATACATCCCAGGAGAGTCATACAAAACTAGCTCGTATTATGAGACCATTTTAATGAATACAGGTAGTGTTGAATTTTAGCACTTCTCAGGTTATAACACCAGCGAGAACATTTATAACTTCTCAAAAATGATCATAAAGCAGATTATATCAATTGAAGATTGGGGTATATCCTCGATGAAAGAAAGGCAGATCAGCCTCAATAAAATCCCTACCAATTTCACTTATTGGGATTATATTAATGCTTTCAGCAAAGTCCTTTATTACAACAATGAAAGGCATAAACTTAATTGATTTATCAAGGTGTGTGCAAAGATATTTGTTAACCCAATTCCTAGCTGGTTCTTGAACTGGTGGTCATACCACGGATCGACGGTAAAGATTTCACCTGATCCCTTTTTAAAGTTGTACAAAAACTGGGTTAAGGTTTCATCAGACCTTAATGATTTATACCACTCAGATCATGTTTGTCATATAGAACAAATTTATTTCTTCATAGAATTCGCGATTCCATGGATCCATAAATGGACCCCGGAAGTAGGTTTTACTGAAGAACAAATTCCATGCTTATATCAGATTTACTATAATAATTTCTAGGATAAATTAATGAGAAGGATCCCATGACTAAATCATTATATGGCCAATAATTATTGGACTCTATTTCTCAAAAAATCCAAGATTATGGTATTATTCCCCACAAAGGAATAATTGCTGACAACTCCGTCAAACATATTGCCAGAAGAATTTCCATTCAAGATGGAAATAAAGAAGAAATGATAAAGGAGTATTTGGATGAAATAAGGAGGGATCTACTCCTCAATATCACTCACTATGAAAAATCAGACACTTCAATGAGAAGTGAAACGAGTGATGATATCGCAGATGATGCTCAAGAGGCCCAGCCTTGTGAATCGGAGAAACCCGTGACAGAAGATATGTTGTCTAAAGCAGAAGGTTTACTTAGGGAGTTGAAAAAGAAAGACAAGATGAACACTATTGATTAATAGTAGATATACTGTTGAACCACATTTGAAAAATTGTTACTGTACATATGGGACCCATTGATAAGGGACCCACGGTAAATCACTGTAGATCGGTCACTGTAGATCGATCACTATAGATTGGTCACTGTAGATCGGTCACTGTAGATCACTGCCTTTTCATTCATCATTAAGTATCATTAAGATTAAAATCCATCTCGGATGCAGAAGGAGTATCCCTATCAGAAATATCTGAAGATTTATCATTTGTTTGGACAATGTTTAACCGAGGATCAATTTTAATTTTTTGTTTTTGTGCAGATATAATTGTCAATAAAGTATGCAATGAAGTTGCACGATTGTGAGCTGGACCATAACAAGGTTATATCGGAGAAATATGTTGAATAGTCAGTCTTCTATCAGAAGCAAAAAATGTCTATTATACAGAACACTTTTTTCATCAAACTACATACAAATTTTTCCACCGGAATTTTGACTAATATGAGAATATTCGGAATTGGTGACAACATCTGCCAATTGTTCAGGGGGTATAACAGAATCTAGAATCCAAGTAGTAGGAAAATTAATTTCTTCCCATTTTATAGGTCTTCTACTAGTGGCCTTAGATCTGGCGAAATTAGTTTCTACCAAAATAGTTTGATCAGAGGTATCATATAACTTACATCTAGGATTCAAAGTAGCAAGTAATTTAAAATAGATTCTATAAGACAAGCAGATTAATTCAGAACCAGCTGCATAGTTATAACCATGCGTTTTAACATTCAAAGTTAAAGCATCTAATATATTAGAATCAGTCAAAGATAACTGCAAATTTGGTTGAGCATTAAAATAGATTGGACCATAGGCCACCGTAGATTCTATTGAACCCATCAAAGATTGTCGAAAATTTAAATTCCTCTCATCTCGTAAAGCAGCTAAGAAAGTCTCAGGTAACCCTTTACGGGTTAAAGGTTTAAAAGCAACTTGAACCATGCCAATATGCAAAAACTTATATTGAGATCTATATAAATCAATATCTCGTTTATTTAATAAAGTTTGTTCAGACGAGTTTAACGCCAAAGATTGCTCAGTTGTTTTGATCAACTGTTTATTAGAGATTTTATCAAACCAACCATAGTCATAAATAGTTTTTATATTCACTTTCGGAATAGTCAATTTGTTTAACAAATCAATGTTTTGAGGTATATCGGCCTCTTCTAACCGAGTACTTTTAATATCTTCTTGTTCCATAAAAGAGAGAATATATCTATGCCGAAATTCTTCACATCAATTATATATATACCATGAAAGTTTCTAGGCTCTGATACCAAAATACAGGATCACTGACCTGGTGGTAGTCAGATCAAGCAAGTCAATATCCTTAGAGGTAGTCCAACTACATAAGAATCGAAATACACAAGAATTTTAACATAGTTTCTCAGCCTACATGGTTTAATTATTTTACCCAAGCAAACGGCCTGTCAAGAAGCTAATACACACTTTTATTGAGCCCATGTGTCTGATAGTTCTAACCGGGTATCAGGCGCCCTACTTATCAAACTCTTTTTCGGGCTAAAAACCACGGCTTATCAGACGAAGTCACAAAGACAAAGCCAATAAAAGTAGTACTAGATCCGACTGTACTTCAACCTCAGAACCAAATCGAGAAACCATACTAAATTTTTTCTATATTTAAATAAAGCTTAGATTCGTTCATGGTCTATATAAGAGAGAAGTTAGTTATCCGGCATAGATATAATTTTTTAGCCGGACATAGTCACGGCTTAGATTGGAGATATAATATTTAAAAGATTTAAAAATAAAAGAAGAGAATTAAATTACCTTGTAACAATGGCCAACAGGGCCTATCAGAGAAATCAACAACTTTATTTACTTCCGGTGAAGCTCCGACAAACTGAGATCTTTACAAACGAAGAAACGCTAACAACTGGAAAAAAAAACAAAAGAAGAGAGAGCATTTTTTCGACTTGCTCCCTTAAACTACAAAGGTCTTATTTATAGAATGAAAAGGCAGTGATCTACAGTGACCGATCTACAGTGATTTACAGTGACCGTGGGTCCCTTATCAATGGGTCGCATATGTACAATAACAGTTTTTCTTCTGTGGTTCAACAGTGTATCTACTGTTAATCAATAGTGTTCATCTTGTCTTTCTTTTTCAACTCCCTAAGAAAACCTTCTGCTTTAGACAACATATCTTCTGTCACGGGTTTCTCCGATTCACTAGGTTGGGCCTCTTGAGCATCATCTGCGATATCATCACTCGTTTCACTTCTCATTGAAGTGTCTGACTTTTCATAGTGAGTGATATTGTGGAGTAGATTTCTCCTAATTTCGTCAAAATACTCCTTTATCATTTCTTCTTTATTTCCATCTTGAATGGAAATTCTTCTGGCAATATGTTTGACGGAGTTGTCAGCAATTATTCCTTTGTGGGGAATAGTACCATAATCTTGGATTTTTTGAGAAATAGAGTCCAATCATTCTTGGCCATATAATGATTTAGTCATGGGATCCTTCTTCATTAATTTATCTCAGAAATTATTATAATAAATCCGATATAAGCATGGAATTTGTTATTCAGTAAAACCTACTTCCGGGGTCCATTTATGGATCCATGGAATTGAGAATTCTATGAAGAAATAAATTTGCTCAATTTGTTCTATATAACAAACATGATCTGAGTGGTATAAATCATTAAGGTCTGGTGAAACCTTAACCCAGTTTTTGTATAACTTTAAAAAGGGATCAGGTAAAATCTTTACCGTCGGTCCGTGGTATGACCACCAGTTCAAGAACCAGTTAGGAATTGGGTCAACAAATATCTTTGCACACAC